ACTCCAGCTCCAAGGGGTCTGAGACTCTCTTCTTGTCTTTAGGCATCCCTCCCCCACATACTTGCATACACTCATATGGACATACACACATAAACACATACACACATTTAAATAAAACAAAGTAAATATTTAAGAAATTATCTTCTCATTAAAAATGATTATAAATTATAATCTGTAATTAAAACTCTCCCAACGAGTAAATATGTCCCCTCTATTTTCCTTACCTCACTAGAGTTTGGCTAATAAACAGAATTTCAGGTAATATACTATAAAACTTACTGATTTACAATACATTTTTCAGTAAAGAGCATAAAGTAGGCTCAGGAGATGACCCAGTGGGTAAAAGACTTGCTGCTAAGCATGAGAACCTGAGCTCACCTCCCCAGAACCCACATCACCCCCTCTCTGGGTGTGGTGGTACTTGTCTGTAACCAAAGCAATGGGAAGGATGGAGACAGGTACATCCTAGGGCTTTATGGCCAGCCAGTATAGCCAAAACAAGCTCAGCAAGAGACTGTCTCTATAAATAAGTAAATAAATAATAAATAAATAAATAAATAAAAATAAATAATAAGGTAGGTAATGACAGAGGAAGACACTTGACTCCAACCTCTGTTCTGCATGTGAGCATACATAGGAGAGCATATCACACACACACACATACACACACACACACACATACACACATACACACACACAGAAACACACTCACACACATGCATACATCACAGACAAAAATAAAATGAAACAAATAAGAAGCATGTGAAAATATGAAAAGATATTTTGGGGCTGGAGAGATGGCTCAGCAGTTAAAAGCATTGACTGCTCTTGCAGAGGATCCGGGTCTGATTCCCAGCATTCACAGAGTGGCTAACAATCATCTGTAATACCAGTTCCATGGAAATCCAGTGCTCTCTTCTTACCTTTGCAGGTATTGCATGATACAGGTACACTTAAATACATGCAGAAAATACACTAATACATATAAATTAAAACAATGAACGAAATATTTAAAAAGGTATGTCTACATTGTCAGAAAGTATAACCCATACTCAAAGCAACAGAGTATTCAAGATACAAAAGTTGTAGAAAGCAAGTGAAAAATACTCTTAGACTTAATTGTACATAAAATATTTCTTTAATTATATATTATCAACTAAGATTGATTTGCTTTCAGAGTAGAAATGGGTAAAGAAAAACTTTCACTTGCAAAACTTGGAAGAAGAAACACAAAAACCCCATCCATAAGATAGTAAGAATAAAGAATAAATTATAGAGAAACAATAAAGACAAAACAGAGAACACCAGTGACACTAAAGTTAGTTTCTTAAAAGATAACAAACCTGACAAAACATTAACTATACTGATCACATTAAAAGAGGGAAGATGACTCTAGTTAAAAACCAGGAACCTAAGAAATGACACCACTACTGACTTTGCAGAAATGGAAAGGCTCACCAAGAAGCACCATGTCAGCAACCTATGTGAAATGGATTAATTCTTAGACACAAACTTCCAAAACTGACTCAAGAAGAGAAAATGTTATCAGACAAGTAAAGGAAATGAATAAGGAATCAACATTTTCCATAAAGAGGAATGAGCATCAGAAGGTTTTATTGTTGAATTCTTAATGCATTCATTTCCAAGAAACAGAAAAAAATTTCCAAAGTTACCGTGTATGGCAACACTACATTGATACCATAATGAAATTACAAAAAAGGAGAATCTAGACTAATATCCCCTAAAAGCATGGATACAATAGCCTCAGCCACATGCTAGCAAAGGAAAAGCACCTCTGTATTAAACAGATTGTCCTCAAAGACTCTGAAGTTATCCCAGGGATGCAAGGTTGGTGCAACATACAGAATTAAATGAAGCTTTTTCTGTCAACAGGTGGAAGATGAAAAACTATCATATTTTTATATAACAAATTACCAACTAATGTCTAGCCATAAATAAGCTTCCATGATGAAAACTACCAGAGGGCTACCAAGACGGTCAGTGGGTAAAGGTGTTTGCCACCAAGCTTGATAGCCTGAGTTTGATTTCCAGGACTCATGTGGCGGAAGGAGAGAGCTGATTCCCAAAGTTGTCCTCTGACCTCTATAGGGGCGCTGTGGCAGCACATGCCCACACACATTCACACACACACACACACACACACACACACACACACACACGCATAAATAAATGTAATTTTTATCTTAAAATATTTATTTAATTTTTTAACTTAAAAACTACCAGAAAACTAGGAATGATGACAGACAACACAAAGCAAACCTGTGACTTCTCCATATCAGCAAATAAGAAGTGCTTACATAAAAGTGTATAAAAGAGCTACATTATTCATATATTCTGGTAGCAGTCACTCTAGAAATGGCTACTTATAAAAGTAAATATGCTTTGATCATATGACTCAGCAAATGCATTCCAGAGAAATGAAGACTATGTTCACACAAAAAAATCTATATACAATTATTCATTATATCTTTATACATAATAACAAAAAACTTGGGAACAACCTCAGTTATCCTTCAACTGGAGAAAAGTTAAGCAAACTGGTATCTCCATACAATGTACCATTTCAGCAATAAAAGCACAAAACAATGTATCTTACTTAGAAGCTAGATATAATTTGAGATCTATAGCATGTGTACTTTTCAACCCAGTTATTTCCTTATGAAAATTAGCATGCTATTAATATTAATATACTTATCCAGGCTAGCCAATATGTGAATATGACTAAATAAGTCTCACATCGAATTCTGCACAGGCTGCTCTTGTAGAGGACTCAGGTTCAATTCCTGTGGGAAGCTACCAGCGTGGCAGCTAACAGTTGTCCTTAACTCCAGTTCCAGGGGATCCAGTGCCCTATTCTGGTTCTGCAGGCATTTCACAATATGGGTGCACTTACATATTTGCAGAAAACTCACTCATATACATAAAATATAATTAATAAATACAATATTTTTAAAACAAAAAAATCCATGTATATTTTTTCCAAATATTTTTCCATTTAACCTGTTATGTAACTATTATCATAATATATTGTTCTGAAATGCCCTTTTTATTGTATCACAAGCCTATTCAATATTGTACAATATTCTTGCACAATATTCTTGTGTATTTTCATGACTTTGTGACCATGATATGTAACCATAACCAGTAATATGCTTGATGTTGTTGAACTTTTTCATTGTATAAATCTCTCTAGCATTAACAGCATCAGTATAATCATATTCACCTTTAACTAACATGAAGACTTAGATATCATGTATTAAAAAATTCATCCAGATACACAGCTCATGGTGCTCTCAAAAATAGTACAGGACCCTGAATGTCAAATAATTTTTTTAAAAAATAGTACAGGACCCTGAATGTTAATCCAGGTGGCACAGTTAACATCACAAAGCTAAAAATTATTTGCTCTTCAACTGGACGCATACTTCCAATTCCCTAGTTCATAAAATGCTTCTCATAGATATGATAATGGTACAATTAAGGATTCTTTGAGGTCACATATGGTGAAACATGCTTGCAAACTCAACACATAGAGGCTGAGGCAGCAGGAGTTCAAGTTCTGAAATACGCTGAGTCACATAACGAGACCTTGCTACAAACTAAACAAACCAAAGAAACCAAAGCAAAGCTAACTACACCAAACCAAACCAAACCAAACCAAATTGACAGACAACTCACTGGTGCTTTCGCTCTAATCTGCTTAACTGTCAGAAAAACTCCTTTCTTCTTCCCAGAGGACAATGAAGGAGGGACATGCAATTGGAAGAAAGTGGGACAGGGAAGGGGAAAGTTCCAATGTCCAGTTAAAGAGTAACAAATGGAAAAGTTTCCACAATAAAATCAGAAAGGGAACAAGAATACCAATGTAAAAAGAAATTTAGTAGTTCTTACAGTGTTATTACAGCCCACAGAGATACAAGATAAAAAAAATTAGTGGGTCTCCTTGTAGCCTCAGCTGTCCTGGAACTCACTATGTAGCCCGGGCTGCCCCTGACCCCACAACGACCCGCCTGCCTCTGCCTCCCACGTACTGGGACTCTGTCTCAAAAAGACCAAAAAAAAAAAAAAAAAGGGGGTTAAAAAATGGGGGGGGGAAAAGGCCTGGGGGCGGGGGGGGGGGGAAGTTAGGGGGGGTGGAGAAAGCCCAAACTGCCGGGTTGTTTTCACCAAGAGAAAAAAAAAAAAAAAAAGGGGGTTAAAAAATGGGGGGGGGAAAAGGCCTGGGGGCGGGGGGGGGGGGAAGTTAGGGGGGGTGGAGAAAGCCCAAACTGCCGGGTTGTTTTCACCAAGAGAAAAAAAAAAAAAAAAAGGGGGTTAAAAAATGGGGGGGGGAAAAGGCCTGGGGGCGGGGGGGGGGGGAAGTTAGGGGGGGTGGAGAAAGCCCAAACTGCCGGGTTGTTTTCACCAAGAGAAAAAAAAAAAAAAAAAAAAATGGTGGTTAAGAAATGTGTGGAGGAAAAGGCCTGGGAGCTGGGGGAGTAGGAAGTTAGGGAGGCTGATGAAGTCCTCAACTGCAGTGTTGTTCTCACACAGAGAAAGAAGAACAAGAAAGAAGAAAGGAAAGGAAGGTGCAGTAGTACATCCAGTGTTTATGTGAGCGAAGCTTCAAGAGGTCTCCAACTCACAGTCTTGCCTCTAAGGAGTACTAGGCTTCCCCAAATGAACCTATCTTTACATTCCTGACACAATTGTCACTGCCTGTCTGGGAACATCTACGGAAGAGGTATGATGAGTCTCACAGCACCATGGCTCCAGGACATGATCAATGATACTTCATGCATTTAGAGATCTGGAATGGTCATTTTCAGGGGGTCACACTGGATATCCAAATATAGAGTAACTCCCAGAACAGAACCAGTGTTCTTTAAAATTGTGATAACAGTTGTATACTCTGCTCATCTCTGAGAATGGAAACATTTGGAAACTACCAAGAATGAGAATTACCCAAACAAGCATCCATTTTCTTCTTGAAAACTTACTCTAGGAGTTTCTGAGCATCATGGTACCCAATTGGATGAACAGGAATACTTGGAAGACCAACAGCCTCTGTAAATTCATGCCTATAAACATATTCTGGGAAAAACAAAAGAGCATATTTATATTTTAAAATTGTCTGATTATGAAAAAACATTCTAGCTCATTATATTTTATTTTCCCAATTTTAGACATATAACCAACAAAAATTAGAAGAAGTTGCATTTTTAAAACATGGGGTTATAAGGTAGATAAATAACATTCAGACAGATTCATGTTAAAGGTACTCTTTAATATTTTAGGGGGTTTTCATTCTTTTAAAATTTCTTTCATGTATACAGTACATCTTGGTCATATTCACCTCAATTTTCTCCCTTCACATACCCCAGGCCCTCTCCAAAACTTCTCCCTTCTTATTTAATGTCTTCTTTATAAAAATATATAGCCTAGTGAGTCCAAATAGTGCTTCCCATATGCTGATGGAGGTGGAGTGGGGTCATACAGTGGGTCATGAACAAGCTACCAATAGCTACTGCCTCCAAAGGAAATTTACTCTCCCTTAATATAATATATAATATACAATGATTGAAAATCTAAATAAGCTGATTAGACTCCAGTGGATGAACTTGTACTGAAGTTCATCTGGGTAAACAAACTTAAGTCAATAAGCCTTAACATGTATGACAGAATGCATGAAATCTGTTGGGGAATAGCTATAGGGGTGGTACAGATGGGGAAGAGGGCATAAAAATAATTAATATATTTTGTATAAAGTGCACAAAGAGTCAATAAAAAATATAAATTGAAAAAAATGTAAACAGTATATGGCAATGTTCTGTGTTCTAAGAAAGGCTTACAAACCCTCCAATACATAAGCTTTAGAGGACTGCATAATTTGATTTAAAAAATGAAAAATAAGTATGTAAATGTCCTATGTACTTTGACAAACCTCTCTATCTGAGTTATAAAAACTTACTTGGTTCCAAACCACACAACCAAATGAACACAATTTTTGTAGGCAACATCAGATAGTTGAGTACATCCAAGACCATTCAGCTTCTTCTATTAATGAGTCACCAGGGATCACTTCAGCAAAACACAGGAATGAGGCCTCTGAAGACAGGCTGTGGGACTTTGAATCCCAGCACTCTGCTTAGCAGTCTGGTGATCTTGGGCAGGCTACTTCTAGTCTCACTTTCCTGCCAGGCTAAATAGAGATCCTAAGGCTAGCTTGCAAGGCTGCTGATACAGAGGCTGACATTTAGGGTACACTTCTTTATGGTCATTACTATTATCTTTGCAAAGCAGCAAAGAAATACGCCTCTACAGGCTCTGCATCCTAAATGCTCTGTGTAATGACTTTGTAAGATGTTTTGCTCTCCTATTCATTATGAACTAGAAATTTCAAAAGTTATATTCATGAAAAATACAGATTTCTAATGAATTTCCTTTCAGAACAAAACCCTGTCTGCCCGGAACTCATGGGCAGCAAACTCTGACTTGGGCAGAATGAGTCCATTCACATTCCTTAGCTGCCTGCTCTCACTGTCTGTACTCACACAGGCTGCTGCAGAAATATTTAAATATGTGTTTGTCATTCAATCTCAACCCCATAAGTAAGCATCATGCGTTATGTGCTACATGGATCTCATTAGATTTAATATCTGGAAAAAGTCTAATTCTGAACCCATCAGGCCCAAGTTTTCCAAATATGGACTAAGAGATATGAACCAATAATTTTAAGGATTTGAAACTATTTTATTCCTATGACGCAAAGAGAATAAGTAAAAAATACATTCTTAGTAATTTTGTCAAAGGAAATCTTTTATAAAAATCACTTAAGCCGGGTGTGGTGTTGCATGCCTTTAATCCCAGCACTCAGGAGTCAGAGGAAGGGATCCCTGTGAGGTGGAAGCCAGCATGGTCTACACAGCAAGTTCCAGACCAGCTTGGGCTACAGGGGGACCCTGTCTCAAAAAGACCAAATAAAATTAAATAAAAATCACTCAAAATGATCAGCTTCTTATGGTGGATGTGATCTGATCACTCACCATTTGCTGGGTAACCTGGTGTGAGAGGGTCTCCTGCACCATTAAGATTTAAGACATTTCCACGCTGGACGCCACCTTCGGGAAGATTCCAACCATCTGGATAGGGCTTCACTCCAGAAACAAAGTAGTCAGCAGGGTCTGAGTACAGAATGATTCCTTTCGCACCTGCCAGCTGAGCATTTTTAACCTAGAAAACAGGGTATGTTTCCTTTCTTAGTTTATTTTAGGTACATTAAATGAGTACTTAAATTTTATCTTTACCTGGAAGATTTATGGCAAAGACATATTGCAAAGAAATGAATTTTCCTTCCCCTAGTTCAAGTTCCTTTGGGGAGGTGTTTTGACTTTGCTTTAGGTTTTTTTGGTGTGTTTGTTTTGTTTTTTTCTTCTTTGCTGGACTGGGGATTGAAATTAGTTTTTAACACATGCCCTACCGGTAAATGAATCATTACTAGGCCATATCTCTAGCCCATTTTTACTTTTTATTTTTTATTTTATTATTTTTTTCCTTTTTTTGAGACAGGGTCTCCTTGTAGCCCCAGCTGTCCTGGAACTCACTATGTAGACCAGGCTGGCCTCGAACTCACAGATATCCACCTGCCTCTGCCTCCCAAGTGCTGGGATTAAAGGCGTGCGCCATCACACCCAGCTTTGCATTTTATTTATAAGATTAAGTCTCACTGAGTTGCCAAGTCTGGCTCTGAATCCATTTTGTAGCTCAGGCACTCCTTGAACTTGTGATCCTCCTGCCTCAGCCTCTCAAGAAGCTAGGATTACAGGTCTGGCTTTCCTAATTCAAGATCTAAAAGTACATCTGCAGAGAAACAGATCTGGAATATTCCCACTCTAGCAGGAGCAAGTACTTCCTATTTCCTCTGGTTGACTAGGAAAAACTAAAAGCAAGTGTAATCTCCAGGGAAATTTCCTATTTATTCTATGTCTAAAAGGTATTCTATGCATTTTGGTCTATTTCATTATCCATAATAACAGTCCACATGAAAATTCAACTTAGTAAATCTTTGAAGATAGTATATAAACAAAGGTCTTAGAAATTAGCAACAGTCTCAATGTGAGATTCTCTATGCTTCTTTGTAGGTCAGAGATGACTTGAAGGTACAGAAAAATCTGCTCTGTTCTCCCTGACCAATAGTGGCAGAATTTCAACAATACAATTTAAAGCCACTTTTTAAAAGTTAGTATGCCTCCCTACAAGGTGTGTATTTATAGAATAAAGAGGATCATGGTATCAGAAAGTTTTAAGGAGATGGTTCTACATCTGAGGGATATTGCATTACTACAATTTAGATTAGGGCAAAAGAAAAGAGATGAACTTTACATTTTTATTACAATGGGATTCCTTATAACAAATTCACATAAGCATATCATGTATTCTGGTCAAATTCATTCCCCATTACCCTTGCCTGTCTCCCATAGCCTGTCCTGCTGGTCCCCTTCCTCCTACCAAACAGCCCCCTTCTAATATCAGATGTGTTTGGGGAGTTTTATTTTTTGAATCTAGATTCCACATATGAAAAAAAAATACAATATTTATCTTTTGGGGTCTGTCTTATTTCAGTTAACAAGATGATCTCCAGTCCGTCCATTCTCCTGCAAATTACATCGTGTCTTTACCTTATTTCCTCTGAACACTTTTCCATATCTGGCAATCACAATCTTCCCAGAGCAATTGATCTTCATGTCCCGTTCCAGTTTAAAGAAGTCTTGAGTTCGTGCATAGTTAACATACACTAGCTCCCCCTGTTAAGGTCAAGAATGATTTAGTATAAAATATAACATGCAGAGGTTTATCTGCGTGTTTATGTCACTGAAAGAGGTAAAAAGCAAGAACACACAAAAAGGTCAGAAACAAATGAATCTCAAATGAAAGATGCAAAACAGAGTTTAATTTAAACTGCAAATTTAATTAGATAGGTTAGAGGCATATCAATTAAATAATAAATTTGTTTCAACTACTTTTTGTTACAAAGATATAGAAGCACTTCCCCGAATGATTGCTGCATGGAATCTGAAATGGTCCAGAAAACAGCTGTTAAGCCCTTGATAGACGCTTTCTTCTTTACAGAATACACTCTCAGATAGGACATAGTAGGTCTTCATAAGCATCAGTGACCAAAAATACCCTGCCCGTAAGGACGGATTTTATTATTTGCATAACCACATGTAAACAGCACATAATCTCTATGTCTTGATATTCTCATTGCAAAGTGACTGATGGATAGGATCAGTGATGTTCCAGGATGTTTTTCCCTCTATTCTAGTTCTTAAACAAATTTTGAGAAGTAATGTGCCCATTCATTTATTTTACACAGACATCTATAAATTTTTATCATACCAAGTATCTGCAAAGAATAAAATTTCTAACATATTATGAATACCAACGTTTTAGAATAAAATTATGGAAATTTTTATTTATTGATTTATTATTATTATTTTGATATTTTTAAGACAGGGTCTCCCTGTAGCCCCAGTTGTCCTGGTACTCACTATGTAGACCAGGTTGGCCTTGAATTCTACTTTCAAGATCCTTTCTATAGTTCAGAGCTCTTTATTTATATCTAAAGGAACTTAAATATCTATACTATTTACATTTAGATTAAGATCATACATTTAAAAATAAATGAACAGAGACTTGGAATGCAGCTTAGTGGTACAGTGGTCACTTAGTGTGAAGCACACACTAGTCGCAATCCATAACAACACAAAAAATTAAATATGAAAAATAAATAAGCAGAACAAATAAGCAGAATAATCACATTCTGTTCTACTGTTACAATTTTGTCATTTCTTTTCTACGTGAGCATTAACATGAAAATATTTGTAATGGACACTAAGATGCACTGCCTGGATTACCCTTAAGTGAAAAGTCTCTGGTTTCAGGTACAAGAGAGACCTTTTGTCAGTAGCCCTCAGGACTGTCCTGGAGTTAGCATTGTCATGTGACCATTCCCTTCTGCCTAATCCAGCATAAGTCTCAGATGAGAGATTCAAAGTTCATTGAATTTGAGAAAGTAATTATATGAGTCAGAGATATATGAATTACATATGTGTATATGCATGTGTTTGTTTGTGGTGAGTGTGTGTGTGTGTGTGTGTGTGTGTGTGTGTGAATTTTCATGTAGAGGTCAAAGAAGGACAACCTCTGATGTTGTACCTCACGCACTGTCCACCTTGCTTTTTTCAACAGTGTTTCCCATTGCCTTGGGGCTCACCAATACTGGCTGGCAAGGGAGCCCCAGCAATCTGCCTGTCTAGCACTTGAATTCCAAATGTACCATCATAACCAAATTTCTTTTTATAAACATGACTTTGGGGGATCAAACTCAGGTTTTTGTATTTGGAAGCATAAACTGTAATGACTAAGCCATCTCCCTGGCCAAATAAATTTGTGAAAATGACCGTATTATCATATACAATTTCAATATATATTCTAATACCATTCTTTATAGAACTGGAAAAAGCAATCCTAGGTCATATGCAAGAAAAAAAAAAAAAGACCCTGATAGCCAAAGCAATCCTAAACCACCTGATCTCAAATTATACTAGAGAGACACAGTAGCAAAGGCAGCATGAAATCAGCTCAAAAATAAACATGTAAATAATAGAACAGAATCCTTACCACAAACAGATCAATTCACAATGGATCACAGACTTTACTGTAAGACCTGAAACTACAAAACTGCTCCATTCTTCAAGATATATGCAGAGTAACAAACTTTCTAAAATGATCTGCAATACCACAAGAAATAACCCCAAGGATAAACAAATGAGAGTTCGTAAAATTAAGAAGCTTCTGCATAATAAAGGAAAAATTTTGCAGAATGAACACAAGGCCTACAGAAAGGAAGAGTCTTCTGAAGTATATTCCCAATAGGGTATTACTATCTAGAATCTAAAAAGCATTTCAAAAATTAAATACAAAAAGGAAAATCATACAATCAATAAATAAGATAAAGGTGCGTAAAGAGTTCAAACTGGAAGAAATTCCTAAGCCAGGAATAGTTAAGAAGGTGTTCAACATCTTTGACCATCAGAGAAATGCAAATTCAACTGCACCGCAATTCCATTTCACCCTAGACAAGATAGCTATTGTGCAGAAAAGAATGACAACAGGGTCAACGAGATGACTCAGCAGTAGAAACTTGATGCCAAGCCTGAGGACATTAGTTGGATTCTTAGGATCCACATGAAGGAAATAGAGAACCAACAAATGACTCTCTTAAGCTGTCCTCTGACCTTCACACATGAACCACAGCATGTGTATGTCCCACTTCCCATGCACATAAAATAAATAAATGCATACGCAATTTAAAATTGAAATGACAACAAATGCCGATGAGGGTGTGAGAGAATAGAAACTCATACACTGCTGGTGAGAAAGCAAACTGTTAGGGACACCACAGAAGTCAATGTGAAGGGGCCTCTTAGAATTACGGGTTGTCCCAACTTCACCACTCCTGCATATAACTGAGGATTTTAAGTCAGTGTACCACAGAAAGACTCACATATCCATGTTTATGGCTAGATTATCTACAATATTCAAGATGTGGAGCTAGCCTAAATGTTCATCAATATGAATGGATAAAGAGTACATGTGTCTTCTTAGACATGAAATCTAGATTTAAATACAAATACGAGTGTGGAACTAGAAAGAAAAATGACAGGAGAGGAAGAGGAAGAGGTCTAAAGGGAGAGGATGATGGAATGTATGTGTTGTGAAAGTAGCGGGATGGCTATTCGAATAGATGAAGGTGATCATTAAGAAGAAGGGAGGGTTAGTGGGGAAGGCAGTCAGGGAAGGTGACTAAGAATAAATAGTGATGTACTAAATATTTTTAGAATTTTGATTTATATAATATATTTAAGGAAATTTGACAAAGATTAATAAAAGTACATTATTTAATTTTGGTCAGCATACAAAGAAATGGGTTTCCGTGTGATATGTTCATATATACATGTGACAGACTTTATGTTAAGAAGATTCTTCAGGAGTAAGTTATAAGTTTTACCTGTGAAGTGAACTTAGTAACACTATGACAAATTTTCATGAATAATATCTATATATAAATTTTAACTGCAAGTCCATCTCTTGATGTAATGAGTGGGGTCATAAAGCATTATATTTTAAAGTTATGAGTAAATTGATACAGTGAGATAAAGATAAACAACAGTTTTGTTCACATTTTTAAAAATGTACCAGCAAATTCTTACTTGGGAAAATCTCACAATTTGAGGGAACTCTCATCTTCAAATATTACTAAATGGTGACTAGCTTTTTATAAATTATCAGTCCTCAGAAAACAAATTATTCTGGAGAAGGGATAGAGAAGTCATCGGTATAAAACTTCAAAACTGAAAGTAGCCAATACATCTGTGCTCTCAGCACCACCCAAAGCAAGTTGTGCTCTGTTAGAAAATCACTTTGTTTTGAGACAATGACCTTCTTGTAGGATTTACACTGTACCGTTGTTCTGTGACTAGGAATGAATACAATCTTGCACTTAGCCTCGAATTTTCTCTAATTCCTTCTACCTTCTATTTCCTTGCCCTTGTAGGAAAGAAAATGAGGTGGGAAGGCAGTGGCTCTCAGAGATCAGTCCTGGAACCTTGGGAAGTGGAATCACCTAGGGCCTTATTTGAACACCGCAAACACTGGGGGTCCTCCTCAGCTGAAACTTGTGAAGTGGAATCACCTAGGGCCTTATTAGAACACCGCAAACACTGGGGGTCCTCCTCAGCTGAAACTTGTGAAGTGGAATCACCTAGGGCCTTATTAGAACACCGCAAACACTGGGGGTCCTCCTCAGCTGAAACTTGTGAAGTGGAATCACCTAGGGCCTTATTAGAACACCGCAAACACTGGGGGTCCTCCTCAGCTGAAACTTGTGAAGTGGAAACCAGAACCTGTGTTTTGTAAACCCTCCAGTTATGAGATGAATTAAACTTTGAAAAATAAAAGACTAGATCATGTTTTATGAACACTGTGCAATGGCAAATTTCAAATAACCTAAAGCAGGGCCCAGTGTTACACATTCCATAGGATCCAGGCATAGATTTAAAGATTAGTGGTAGAGAAATTTTTTACAAAGACATAACAAACATATAAATCAGTAGAGAACTAACATTCTACTGTCTGGGTTACAGATGACCCAGAATATTATAACAATCAGCAAATGCATCTCTCATGAAAATATAAACAGCCGTCCCATAGAGAGTAAGGAGCTCTTTCTATCCTACAATTCAATGATGTGCAACAATTTGAGCACACTTGAAATAAATAAATAAATAAATAAATAAATAAATAATAAATAAAACCTACAATTTATTTTTAGAGAAGCAAAATATATGCCACTCTGACCTTAATCTCACTTCAATCCTTCTGCCTCAGTCTCCTGAGTTCTGTGTGACAGACATTGGTCACCAGGACTGACTTACAGTCCTTTCTTATAAGTAGAATAATACATATTTCAAAAATTATTTAGTGGATATTTTTCAGTTACTCAACAGACCTACAAATTAATCTTGGTATAGTTTTTCCTTATATTATACCCTTCTCTAGATGCATAGATTTTTTTCAATTTGTTTTTTTTTAATTTTTATGCATTTCATACAGAACATCTCAATCAATCTTAATCATCTTTATACCCCCATCTCCACCGGTACCCTCCCATACCACCCCCCGCTGGAATTCATACATTCTGTTAAGGCCTATTGTGTCAAGTCAGTGATCCCAGACGTTCCTCAGTGCAGTTCACCTTCTGAGGTCTAGTCAACCTATCCAGAGTCCCTCGCTTTAGGAAGATCAGCTCTTCCTCACCTAGCAGTAGTCAGTGGCCAGTATTTTTTCAGCTAAGAGATACATATTGTTTTTACCTGTAATCTTTTACTGCTCAATACATTTCAAAGTGCTCTTCAATTTGTTCATACTCAGCTAACATTCTAAGGTTCTTAAAATAAAATTTGTATTTTACATATTTATTTTTTGACTTTTTTTGAGACAGAGTCTCCCTGTAACCCTAGCTGATCCAGAAATTGCTATGTACACCAGGCTGGCTTGATCTTACAGAGCTCCACCTGCCTCTACCTCCAAAGTTCTGGGACTAAAGGTATGTGCTACCATGCCTGGCATTTTATAATAATTTTAAATAATATTACTTTGCTATGTGTTCTCTTATCTCATATTATTTGTCCACATTTATTTAACTCTGAGAGTAGCATTAATCTTATCTTTAAAATGAAGATTTACTAGTTAATATTTGTATGTTATACAACTGGTTGTATGTATCTTCTCATGTAGAAATGCCATTATAAATAATTTAGACAATGTTTTAACGACCAAATTTAAAAAATATATACATATATATGGAGAAAAAGTTGGCAATATCAAAATTGATGGGGTTTATTGCCTTAAAAAGCAATACAGAGAAAAGAAGCAAAGAACAGAAAATTTGAGTGAGAATATTTACAATTTTCAAACCATTCAGGGATAAATAATCAAAATAACTAAGAAACTAATAAAATTTAAGAAGAAAAATGGCAGAAATTCACCAGGAAAGCAAAATGTGTGTAATTTGCAATGTGAAAAGCAGAGTAGTTTATAAATATGTATGTTTAGGAATGAACAAAATCATCTGTAATCAAGAAAAATATCAATTAAAACAAATTAGAATAAGCAAAACTATACTTATATAATTTCAATTATTTATGAAAACTTAGAAGAAGAATACACGCTGGTTGTAAATAGATGTATAAACTGCCAAAGCTGGACCTTGGAAAATCACTTATTCACTAAATTAAGCAATCTCATGCTTTATTTATTGTTTACAGAAAAACTCTCAAAGGCAGAATGACATTGTTTAGTGCAATGGGAGTTTAGGGGCAAATTATGTGTTTACTACTAAGAGAATGGTAAGTTATTTGTGGGGTGCACATAAGGCAAAATTATAGTCAACAATGAAACATGAACAACAATGAAATTGTCAATAACGAAAATTAAATATCTTCTCTAACATGAAGCAATTCAGAGACATTTTGACCTCATTAGTAGAGCAAGTCACTGCTGAGTGAACAGATGAATAGAAGAGTGGGAGATGGGGAAAAGAAGGTGGGACCTGATTGGAGGAGGCTGGTCACTGGGGTCTTTGAAAGCTCTAGCTTGATCCTGGCTGTCTATTTCCTGGCTACCACCAGATGAGATTTATTAGAATGTGTCTTTCCACATGGTGCCGTGACTTACCATGGCTCTAAGCAACCATGGGGTCTGGAAATCATGGACCAAGGCCTCTGAAACCATCAAGGCCTCTGAAACTATAAGCCAAAATAACCGCCTTTCATCTTTTAAGTAGTTGCTTATCTCAGGTATTTTATTTTGACATAGAAATGAAAAATTACCATAAAAAATAAGAGCAATGATTGCCTCAGAGGTGTTTGAAAATAAAAGACAGTATAAGGGAACATTCTGAAGTAATGGAAACATTCCGTACATTGAATTTCAATTGCACAGTTGTATATATTCATTAAAAGACAATAAATGCATAGGTTTTCACATCTCTCTGCAGTGAATTGTATCTTAAAAGACATCATGAACAGGGCTGAAGAGATGTCACAATGGTTAAGAGAAAGAGCTGCTCTTGCCAAGGACCCAGGTTTGGCTAACAACTATGTATAACTCCAGTTCCAGGGGGTCTGACACCCTCTTCTGGCCTCCATATGTATTGCATGCATGTGATGCTCTTACATACACACATGCAAGACACTCATGCAGATAAAATAAAAATAAGCCAAAAAACTTAAAATTATAAAACATCATGAACAAAAAAATTAATATTTCTTTTTCCTACTAAGATACCCTATGTTCTTATGTATGCAAAGGTGTTAAATTTAAATTATATAGAAAGCCCTGTCATTACATTTTAATTATTGCTAAATGTGTGAGGTCAAGGATGGCTTCTGTTTGTCCTTTTTATTGTTGCATTTCTTTACCTCTGGCATTCCTTGTGGAGAGAAGGCACTGAAAGGTGGCACAATGTCTGAAATGTTTTCATATCCAGGGGGAGGTGGTTCTGATAATGACGTTTTGAAAATCTAGAAGAAATAAACATAATCAAAAGAGATTCAGTTAAAATTTGATCACACTCAAACAAGAAAAATTAATACTATCTCTTCTGTAAGCAGACAGTTATTTAATCATTTATTATTTTCATCATATCAGCACGCCATACTCTGAGGAATATGTGAGATTAATAAATCCAGATCCTGCTCTAAAAACCCATTTAGAGAAAGAAAGCTAAAGAAACAATCAGAAAACCACCAACAGAAAATAACCAGGAACTGTGGAGTGTTTCTAAGCAAATGAAAAGAAATTCAAAATAGGTATGATTATTTTCCAAAAGGGAGAACTGTATTATGAGGAAAGAAAGAATTAGAAACAGACTTTTAAAATGATACACATACGTGTCTGATATAAAAAAATAAAGCCCAATACATAGGTCCTCCATACTAGGTTAGAAGTAATTTAACCTTATGAGGGTCCTGAGAGAGCTAATAAACACCAGCCTTCAACTTAAGGGTAAAACATCCCTAGATAATTTTTAAGTCCTCAAATATAAATGTGCTATAGTATAGTACTAGCATTAAATATAATAGTATTAAGATAATTACTTAGGAATAAATTAAATATCAAATTTACTATAACAAAAAGTTGCATAATTGAAGGATTAAGAGACAATAATACCTAGAATAATTGAACAGCATCCATACTGCAAATAATGAAAATATATTATATAAAATATGTATTTGTAAATGTATCATGGAATTTCAGAAGGCATGTTTTAAGGAACAAAAAGTATATGTTCCTCTCAAAGAAAAGTGTGCTGATAAAACATTATCTAAATCAATACAAAAAAGTTGTAGTAAGAGTGGAAAGGAAGTGAATAACATTTAATTGATAAAGATTATAACAAATTTCAAGCTCACAGTAAAACATTAAAGTTATCCCATACAGGGTCAGAAGAAACTCAAGGCCATGTACCAGCTATCATCACTCCTTTGAACACTGTAAGTGTGACCACAGGGGAAATGGTTGAGAGGAACATGGGTTGACATAATATTCTAACAAGAGCATCAATTATCATCCCCTCCTGAAGATGACAGGTCTTCAAATGAAATCAGAGCATCTACTACCCTAAAATCCCACCCCGCTTCCAAACTTCCCATCTCTATGGTATGCTGTCTTTTCAAAAACAAAGGCGAAATAATGTGACTGCATACTTTAAGAAGACTAGACTTCTAACATAACACACAAACTATTAACCACATTTGTTGTCCATGGACAGAGGAGCTTGTCTGTGATATATAAGTGAGTAGAACGACCATAGATGAGATGGTTAATAATGATTGTTGAACTGACAGGATCTAAAATTGCCTAGAAGACCTCTCTCTCTCTCTCTCTCTCTCTCTCTCTCTCTCTCATTTGTGTGAGGGGTCTCTCTCTCTCTCTCTCTCTCTCTCTCTCATTTGTGTGAGGGGGGGCTTCACAGGCTGACTTAACAGAGGTGGGAAATTCCACCCTAAATGTGGTACATATCACCCCATGGACTGGGGTCCTACATTGAATAAAAAGTTGAAAGAGAACTGTGCATCAGCATTCATTTCTCTGCATGCTGCCTGCAGGTTCAACATGACCAGTCAAATTGTCCTCCTGTTAACATGACTTCCCTGCCATGATGGACTGTGCTCTCAAACTATGAGACAAAAGAAGCCCACCATCGCCCCCTGTACTTTAAATTACTTTTGACAGTATTTGATCACAACAATTAGAAAAGTAAAATAAGACAGTGTTCCACAAAGCTCAGCTGTTAACAGTCATATATAAGGAACTAGAGAAATGACTGACAGCATAAGAACTCTTATGGTTAGGGCAGAGGGATGAACAAGGAGATGACTTACCATGATGCCAGCAACATAAATATCTTTTTTATAAAAAAAACTATTAACAAATAAATTCACAGTTTGATAGTGATTATCCTAGAAAGGGGAACACAAACAAGAAGGAAGGTACTCTCCAGAAACATTGGATTAAATTTAACATGGGATTATATCAGTGGTTATAATATAATAATTAATTAATTACCAAGAAGAGAAATACATTATCAATAAAGAAAGGTTACTAGCATTTTGATAATAAAAAATTCAAATCATATGGCATTTTTCAGCTGGATATATGCTTTTCATAATGTAGGAGACAAAGCAATTTTTGGAAGCCATCTAAATTGACAGGGACTGCATTAGATGTGATGGCCCTATCATGGTAGGTGTATTAAATATGGATGGTGTTTCAATTATACTTTACACACTTTCTTATTGAACATACAGCATGACTAGAACTCTCAACTATCTGTATTATGTTCTCCTTTACAAGTATGCACTCTAATTTGCAAATAGGATAACAAATTCTTTGAAGTAGATATACGATAGACTATGCCTCCAAATTTTTTTATTTCCAACTGCTTAATATAAGTTCTTAGCAAAAACCTGGCCAATTATTAAGCCTTTTGGATCAAGTGGAAATATAATCATTTAAAAGCAATAAAACCTCATTGGCTCAAAGTGCATATCTGGTCTTTAAATATCCTGGCAACTCTGAAGCTACACAGTATCTTTACAGCCTAAACCTATGAAGAGCTTATGTTCTAGTCACTTGGAAACTTCATTATGGACCGCATATAAAATTGTAATGTAATAGTAAAAAATAAAAATAATAATAACAGTAATCAAGCATTCATTTTAAAGTATCTTCCCTAAATCATATTAAGTTCAAACACTGTAAGAAATGAATTGACATTGATAATAGTTACTAAAGACAATTCACAAATTCAGTAATATGGAATTTGATAAATATTTGGACCTGATATAGGATTAGGGTGGAGTGTTTCTATTTTACCTCATTTCCATCTTCATCAATTATTGAAATGTAGTTAGGGTGAGTCTCATTTGGATAGGACAACAGGACATCATAATGGACTAACTCAACCGAATCCAGGCCAAATTCTTTCCACTGGGACTTAATTTGCTTTGCAAGCTCAAAATTGTTTTCTGTTCCTGCTAAATGTGGTGTCCTTGTGAAATTACTGGTGAATAAAAATTGAAAATGTTTAAAAATCAATGCTTAACCCAACTTTATCTCAACATCAAGACAATACACTGTATGTACATCTATTCATATATGTATATATGCATATATATGTAAGTATATAATGGTCTTTTCAAATCACTTTGTATTCATTAGAAAATTATTCAATAATTAGAAGTATTTCAAACATTTTTCATATTTATTTTAAGTGTTTTGTCTGCATGTGTATAAATGCACCACATGCATGCAGTGATCATGGAGATCAGAAAGGGTGTTGGATCCCCTGGAACCAGAGTCATGAATGGTTGTTAGCCACCACATAAGTGCTGGGAACTGAACCTCAGTCCTATGGAAGAACAATGAGTTCTCTTAAGTGCTGAGCCATCCTGCAACCCCTATTCTAAATATTTTTGACACATGTACAATAATGATTTATATAAAAACTATATTCCGATCAAATTAGAGTTAATCTAATCAAATAGACATACTAATTCTATACACATACAGATCTCCAGCCACACTTCAAGAATTTACTCATTTATCTCTTTTACATTACACTGTTTCATATGTAAGAAGTGAATTCGTTTCTTAAATTTTCAAACATATGCTTCCAAATGTCATCCTTATCAAAGGAATATCATTATCCTCATCTCATAGATCTGGGACTGGAGACTTGGGAAGGTGCAGTATTTGCTCAAAGTTACTTCACTAATAAAGAGTCAAGACAGAATTCAATCTCAGTTCTTTCTGACTTTAAAGTACATTTTCTCTTGACTAAAATAAACTTCCATTAAAGTATAAGTCAGCACGCTAAATTTTTCTAGCCAAATCTGGCTGTTGTCGGTTTTTGTATAGTATACTGTCCCTATAAACATTCAAGTATATGCTTACTATAAGAAATTTTTGATGTTCTCAGCCTTCAATTCATGCAAAAATGCCTTCTTCATGCCACAATGGGGAGCAATGTTGGTAACTTCATTAGAAGATTTTATAAACCACCCTGCAAAATAAAAGCAAATGTAGGAATGAGATCTGAACTCATAAACAGGCCTTACTTTCATTACTGTATCTGTAGGACAGTTTATCACATATCTCTGGGATTAGCTAAGATACTGATGTTGTCTTTCTTTTGCCTACTTCTACTTGAAAAAGATCATACCCATATGCTTTTTGGATTACAAAACAACTACAACATACACAAAGCTGGTTTCAATTATATATGTTGCTGTTATTTCTAAGAAATAGTATATGCCGGGCATAATGGCACACCCCTTTAGTCCCAACACTTGTGGGGCAGAGGCAGGCAGACAGATCTCTGTGACTCCAAGGCCAGCCTGGTCTACATAGTGAGTTCCAGCCCAGCTGGGGCTACAGAGAGACAGGGAGACCATGTCTTAAAAAGGCAAAAAAAAAAAAAAAAAAAGAAACCTGATTTTCAGAATGGCTGTACCAGTTTACACTCCCAGCAGCCCAAATTAAATTTGATGTCAATGTTTCAATTAATGGAGATAATTAAGAAAATAAGTGTTTTTTCCACTGGAATCTTTTGCCAATAACTATTTGATTGTTGAGCTAGAATAAGCAATTAATAATGACTCTGTGAACAAACATGAATATATTTCAAGTACATAAATTATTTCAAGCATTAAAGAAAACAGAATTTTAATGTACTCTGATTCTAAAACTAAAACAAAATGTGCTTAATTTTTTATTTTCAGTTGAAACAGGCTTGAGAAACTTCAGTCTGGAAAGCTGCAGTGAACTATGACTGATTCAATATCTCTGTAAGAACTCCAGTGCACATGAAGCCGTGGGCAGTTTATAGCTAGCCTATCAACAGCTTTACTAAGCGAGAGACACGGGGCATCATTACAAGGTTTATTCCAGGTAATCTGGGAATACCATAGTTACAAACTCAGCATGCAGTCAGCCTTCATGGAGCTATTACTGATCTCATACCTACAAATCCATATGCACATAAACATGCATATCAAGGCACAGGGTCGGTTAAAAGGGATATATTATTCTGCCTGTGAATACAACTAAAGAATTTTTGTTGGACTGCAGGGTGAGGGAAAGACACAGGAGGATAATCTATTAGAATGGAGAGCTGCAAAACTTCACATGATGAAAAGCGTAAAGGCCTGTCCAGGAGACAGAACACTAGGAACCAAACATAATAAAAACCTACCGAGTCACTGAGCTGGAATAAAAGAATACGGCAGATGCAGGAAGAATAAATTGCCTTTAGGATTTATAGGGTATTGGAATCCCATGTCAGCCTCGCATAGCCTTAATTTCCCTTGTCAAACTGAAGCAAAGCAAATTCAATTTGAATCCATCCTTACTGACCATTTGCCTCACAGAAGCTCCACTGGAATGCTAGGTTGTTACTGGTTAGTCTGTTATTTAAGACCAGGGTATATAGCCTGAGGCCACACAACAAACCAGAAGGTAGTGAATATAAATAAACCCAATTATGCTGTTTTACCAAAGCCCAGAGAGGATGCTCAGAATTCAGAGTAAGGGTAGACTACTAGGTGACAACCCACAGTGCTCTGTGTGCTAAAGTCTGCTTTGGAGCACGTCCTTATTAAGAAACCCCAGTGCTGCTCTGAAGTGTTGAAGTTTCATACATGGGTGAACGTTTTAGCCTCATCTTAAAGATAAGGAAGTTGAGGCTGAAAGAGACTTGATAACTTGTTCGCAGCACGTAAGTGACTAAGTAGCAGATCAAAATTTGAATTTAAAAGTCAGCTGACAGTTGGGTTTGTTGGCACATGCCTTTAATCCCAGTACACAGGAGGCAAAAGTAGGCAGATAGATCTCTGTGAGATCGAGGCCCGGCCAGCCTGGTAAGCAGTGAATTTCATGCCAGCTAGAGCTGGCTACAGGGTCTTAAATCTGTAACTACTTTGTCCCCTCAAATTTTTCTGTTATACTGGATAATCTTGGATGCAACCCCCAAGCAGGTCAGAGCAGCTCCCACGAGCATCTGTCCTGAGACGTGTGGCATCTTGCGGGGCTCCAGTGGGTCAATCATCGTTCCATTTTGGGGTCTCTTGGTTCTGCCAATTAACCTGTGCAACTCTGTCCTACAAGCAGCTAATTCAAAACAACTCTGCACTGCAGCCAGCAGCCCTCTGCCTAACTCAGGACTCCTCCCTGTCTTCCCCTACCCCAGTCGCCGCCCAGAGTGGAGACCAGGACAGAGTCACACTCAGTGCTGACCCAACTGCGGTCCCCCAAACAGGGAGGGCAGAGGGGAGGTTGGCCTTGCAAATGCACCATACCAAAGAGGAAGCCGATGAGGAAGAGTCCGGAGCACGCCAGCACCACCGCCCCGACGCAGAGCCAGCGCTGGCGGTGCCCGGCGACCACCGCGGAGTCGCTGTCCTGCAGCGGGTCCCACATCTCGGTGGAGTCGCCCTTCCCCGCGAGTCCCGCAGCCCCACAGCAGCCGGGCCTCTGGGCGCCAGCTTCCACCCACTGGGCGGACGAATAGAATTCGCTCCTAGGACTTTCTCCGCCCCAAAGCATTTCTGGCTTACTCTGAACCAGTCTGAGTGAGGTGGAGAAAATGTCTGCCTGCTAAGAAAACTTAATTGCCTTTGGAGTAACGTTAATGAAGAGAAACAACAACAACAAAAACAAACAAACAGAAAACATTTTCTCTTGGAAGTTGTCAACTTTGGCTTATTGAAAAATTGAAAGGCAAAGAGGTAGGGAGAGGACTTTTCTCTCTAGCCCTGTAACTCAACAGAAAGCCCCAACTGTCTGCCTAGGAAAAGACAAGCGACTTGGCTCCAAGCTACTTAGTAGAATAATTATTTCTCAAGACCATTTTTTCAGGACTGGCGAGACGGTTCATCAGGTAAAGGCCCTTGCTGAGAAGACTGACTACCTTAGTTCCTCCCCCAGAACCCACATAGTGGAAGGAGAGAGCCCAGTCATGCAGGTCGTACCCTGGACTCACATGTACGCCATGACACCGGTACACTCCTGCACATTTACAAATAAACGAACAGGGACTGGAGAGATGGTTAAGAGCACTGGCTGACTTGCAGAAGACCCGTGTTCGAATCCCAGCACCCACATGGTGGCTTAACAACCATCCTGTAGCTCCAGTTACAGGGAATCAGAAACCCTCTTTTGACCCCTGTGGGCAATCCACCACAGGAATGCACTTAACATACATGCCGGCAATAAATTCATACATATAAAATTAAATAAATAAATAATAAAATAAACGAACAAATAAATAAAGGTTTTTGTAGTTCTTAAATTGTGAATTTATGCAGCATAAATTCAAGCAGGAGAAATGGCATTCACTGTCTAGATAAGAAGGGTTGGCATCACTGGGCGTGGTGGTACATGCCTTTAATCCCAGCACTTGGGAGGCAGAGGCAGGCAGATCTTTATGAGTTTGAGGCCAGCCTGGTCTACATAGTGAGTTCCAGGATAGCTGGGGTTACAAGGAGACCCTGTCTCAAAAAAGACAAAAATAAAAAAAAGGTTGGCATCAGGAAATATCATCACTTCTTTCTCGTAGTGAATATCTTTATTATTTATGAGTTTGTAGGGTATTATTACCCATTGAAAACTGTAGGACATTGAAAATTGTAGAAGGAGCCAGGCTGGTGGTGCACACCTTTGATCTCAGCACTTGGGAGGCAGAGGCAGGCAAATCTCTGTGAGCTGGAGGCCAGCCTGGTCTACATAGCAAGTTCCAGGCCATCTGGGGCTACAGGGAGACTCCATCTCAAAAAGACAAAAAAAAAAATTGTATTTGTTTTCACATCACAGCTATGTTTGGACACTGTCTTTCATAATAGATAAGAAACTGTTAAATGGAATAATAATCACACAAAATTCTACTCCTGTAATAAATTCTTTAACATTTTAATGAAATTTATTTATTTGTGTGTTGGGGTGGGGTATGTGTGCCCATACCACAGGGTGTGTGTGGATGTGAAAAGACTACTGGAGGGACTCCATTGTTTTTCCACTATGGCGATCCTTAAATCGAATTCAGTTTATCAGGCTTAGTAGCTAGTGCTTTAATATTAAGCCATCTCAAAATTATAAACCTACAAATTTAGTATCAAGAAGAGAATAACTACACGTTTTAAAAATCTACTGTGGTCATATATAATCCATACAGAGTCATGAAGTATGGGTAAGGTTTGAACCAAGAACTAATACGGAGTAGGGACAAGCCAGGAAAGCAAAGAACGTCAAGGAATAGCAAGTTACTTGCTTTGGATTTTCCAAGGGGAATAGAATAAGAGTATGGACAGATGGGCTAGACAGTACAGGGGCTGAGATACTTTGAATTTCTGAGCAAATAAGAAATGGGAGGAAACTGTCAATAATCAACTCAGGCTGCTGAATGACTTAGGAAAAGAATGTGTTTCTTTTTTTTTTTTTTTTAAGAATGTGTTTATTAAGCATTTTCTTTAAAAGTCCAATATTTATTCTATCCTAATGTTCTTAGTGTAAAATATAGCCAGGAATTGCAGGATAGTAATGGCTCATACTTAATTGACCACTTAATATAAGTGATACACTTTACATGAATTATCTCATTTATTCTTTATAGGAACCCTTCCTGGTTTGTAATAGACTCTTCTTACTTCACACAGTGAAAAAATGAGATACAGTAAAATGAAATAAATGAAAGTCACAAAGCTAAGACCTGGTGAAATGCATTTCTGATTCCATACAATGCTATAGCCTTCCCTGAACACATGATGTATCTACTGAGTTTGCCTGTGGTATCAGAAGGGGACTTAGGATCAGAAGACTTGGAAGTAAACTTTGGATCTAGTCATGATTAAGCTACATACCCTTGTGCCAAGAAACCAGTTTATCTGAAAATATGTCCTCATTTGTAAAATATGTGATCACTCAGTACTGTTATATGGTATATTTGTTTAATATTGCTTTTTTGAAAGCAAGATTTGAGTATGAGTCAAATATCAGTTAAGAATAGATTTCTGAACATTAGAATGACTAAATAAAATCAGCCTTCCATATGTGAGTGTCCCACATCCTCAGATTCAATCAACTCCAAATCAAAAATATCAGAATAAAAAGCAACTGTACTACCCATGTACACACATTTTTCTTGACATTTTCTCCTGAACAATATAATAAAACTGCTACTTATATAACACTCACATTTCATAAGTAAGCAATACATCATTATAAGTGTTTCAAAAATGTATAGGCTGTATGTAGATAAATACTACATCAACTTACAGAAGGATTTAAGAATCCTTAAATTTTGGTATTTGCAAGGGTGTGCTTGAAACAATAACTTGTGGATAGAGAAATGATTAGATGCTATAGTGAGGAAGGTGTATTCAAGAAGCACTGAGGCTGAATGGCCATCTTCGAGTGAACAGCTTTCAAATATTGTAAGCTCTGTGGAACTTTCAATAGGGAAAACATATAGTCAATAATTCCTCATGGTGCTAAAATTCAACCGGGGCCTCATGCTAGGTAAGTACTCTACCACTGAGCTATACCCCCAGCTTGTTATAAATTACTAGAATTATGGTCACTTTCTACATGCTATTCACTGTTGTGATATATATATATA